TATTTCCAATAATCACCTGAGAAGCTTTGGGTTTCACCGCTACCGGTGATCAGTGCATTTGCTTGTGCCTGACTCATATTTTCAGTATCGGCAACGATCCGATCGTCGTCTTCGTCGTTGTCTTCACCTGGCTGCTTGTAAACACCACCGGTTTTATCACCTTCAACATTTTCCCTTTCCTCTTTCCCTATTCTTACTTCTCCTGTTCCGTTTCATTCCTCTTTTGCGGCTCTACTTGTTCACTTCTGTTTGAATTTCTCAGTTAAGGCCTACAAAAATTTCACTAGAAGAAGATGATGGAGGAGAAGAAGGAGAACTAAAGTGTTGGTGTATTATCGGATTAATTGACGGGCATTTTCAAGCAAGTTTATGAAATACAGAACTCTATGGAAACTGCTAAAGTTTGAAAAAAAGCGAACTTTAGAACGTTTCTTTTCGATTTGTTGTCGTTGTAATCTATAGTTTCTGCTTTCGGTTCATATTTACACTGATTTCAGCAAAAATAGTAATAAAAAAAAAAAATTTTTTTTTTTTGTTTTTCAGCTTAATTGGCCGATAAATAGGTTTTATTATCACACATTGTATTCCACTTTTATTTTGCACTTCAGTTTTTTTTCTTTCACCTTCTTTATTTGAAAGGATTGAATAAATGAGAATTTTTTAATCGTGTCAAATAAAGGGCGGTAAGCATGATCTGCAGTGGAATTGCTCTTCTTTCTTCTCTATGCAACTGTTAAAATGGTTAATGTGATTTTGCAATTTTTCCATTTATTTTCACCATTTTTTGTTATTCAATTCTGTGTTAGCAATACAGTTGTAATACAGCGGCTTCCAGTATAAGCAGTAACTGCGAAGAAAAGTGAAAAAAAAAAGATTTAGATGATGAACAATTTTTGAAAAACTACTGGAATTATTTGTTTATTTTTTAGATGGAGTAGAAATTGGTGAGTTCTTTTCTCTTTTTTCTTTTCTTTTTTTTAATTAATTGTTATTTAATTAGTGAAAAAAAGGGGGAAGAGAAAGAAAAAACCAGTGATCATCTTTTATTTTGTCTGATACAATCATCTTTTTGGACAAATAACAATAGGAATGAAATGTTCAAAAGTACGCTTAATAAAGGCAATTTTTTTTTTTTTTTTTTTTGAGGAAATAAATCCTATGAACTGTTTACTTCACAGTATTTGTCAGTCGATGTCACTGTTGTTGTCACTCTGTTATCAAATATCATGGATATTCATTGGACGTTTGAGAATTTTTTTTGCTGGTTTCTTTCGTTTCTTTAGAAAGTTTGAGCCTTACTGTAATGTTAAAAAATATTTTGTTTCAGAAAGAACATTTTAATGTTATTATCTTGTCCAGAACGTTACAATCACCAATATTTAAGGCGAATCTCGGATTTTAAGGACGGAATAAATATGAGCCAAGAGCAGGCTGCACTGTATTTGTATTGCCAACAGCAGGCTGCAGCCAGGAATTACTGGTTGATGTTACAGGCTTTAAACGCTACACCATCGTTAGCATCAGTGACGGCGGCATCAACCGTACCCAGTTTAACATTTTCATCACCGTTTCTTCCAACTTCGTTGTCAGCGCAAAATATAGCTGATTTATCTACAGTTTATTCTCAACAACAGCAGCAACAACAGCAAGAGCAACAGCGCCAGCAACAACTGGGGCAGCAGCAGCAGCAGCAGCAGCAAGAACAAGAGCAACAGCAGCAGCAACGTGAAAGTGTTTTAGCTGGAGCAACATGTTTGCCAACAGCAAATATTCAGAATCCAACAATGAAGGAACAACAAATTGCTGCATTTGAACAACTCGCTCGTCTGGGTATACCGTTACAACTCAACCCACTGGGTATTTTAGCATTGCAACAACGTGATAGCAATGAAATTAAATGCGATAAGTTACATAATACAATAATATCCAGTAAAAAATGTGCTGAAAAAGCTGCAGAATCAATTTTGGATTTAAAACAAAAAGTTTGGGACACTGATGCATGTACACCGAAAACTGAACCAAGTATTACTTCGTCAAAAATTTCTGCATTATGTAGTTCAGAAGAAATTCCATCACCGTCATCGCGTAAGTGTAACTTTTTTCTCCGTTTTTTTCTCGTTTCAATTTCTATTATTTGTATGGTATAGCTGTGTGTTATTGGAACTTTTTAATGTAATATATGAATAAACAATAAAATTGAAAAAAAAAAAAAGGAGTAGATTGTTTTGAGAAGTATTATTCGTTGTGTCTGTCATCGTAGTTTTCTTCAAAGTAATCGTTCTAATCTGCTTTTCTTCTGATTTTTATTCTTTTTCTTCTTACAGTTCTGTGTAGCCCAGCATCTAGTGATTCTGATCGACTGTCAACAGCGAAAGAACGGGTTGAAGACGATGAAGAAATGGTTTATGTGGATGTGGAAAGTATCGAAGATAAAGTTGCAGCTAAGGGTCAACGAAAAGCGCATATAGAATTTTATCGAAAATTAAAAGCACTTCGCCAGAGGTATAGTTGGGAAATAGGATTATTTCCCAAAATTTGACCATTTTTTTTCCTGTTACTATTGTCATTTTTTTGATCATTTTACAAGCAGTACTCATCTGAATAGTTAACTGCGTGGCACATGGCTTAAAGTTTTCTTCGTTTTTATGCATTTTCGTAACTTGCAGAACAGGAAGAGAGGAAAAAAAGAAGGAAGTATGGTTTACTACTGTTATTTGTTGATTTACATGATTTAATTTTGGTATGTTTAGGGAAAAGGTTTTGGAGTGTCAGTTGTGTCACGATAAAATTGAAAACCGGGAGCACACTGTTCGAACACATGTTCACAGTCATTCTGATACCGCTTTATATCGGTGCAAAATGTGTGGTGCAGAGTCGAAAGAACAAAGTGCTATGTTTGCGCATACAAATCGTTGTCACCCCAATAAAGTATTGAATTCTCTTTTCTTTCTTTGGTTGCTTAATGTGGACAATAACTGATTGACTGACTGATTCTGCTGTCGAAGTTGTTGACACTGTTGTTGCTTTTGCTGCTGTTCTTGTTGCCGTGATTAATATTAGTAACATCATCGTTTTCTTCTTTGTGTTTCAGCGGTTCTGCATTTCCTATTGATTCCCAGTTGCTGTTTTTAATAAGATTTTTCTTTTGTTTGTTGTACCCTTACCTGCAAGCCATCAGTTGTCATTTTAATTTCTAGGGTAACTCGCGAGGAAAGATTAATTAATAGATGAAAAAAATAGGGAAGAAAGCGAACCAATTTTGTTTTTTTGTCACAAAAAAATTGGTATCGAAAGCTTTATTTGCTCGTTCCATAATTTATGAATAAATTACCGTTTTCAGAAAAACAGCAAACCTTTTTTCATTCAAAAAATCTCCCTTTTTTTTCTTCTTTCTACTTTTCAATCTTCACATTCGTTAGCTTTACCCAAATTTCTTGGAAGTTTTTATATTGATATTTTTTTGGCTGTTGTTTTATATATTTTGTTTAATCTCCTTTTTTTTCCAGACCAATGTTTGCTTCGAAGATCGTCGAGATATGAATTGTTTATCAAATATCTTGTTAAGATGTTTTCCACGTGTAACACCAAAAGCTCGTGTCAGTTATAATGAGGTCTTTTTTTTTCTTTTTGATGTCTTTATATAATAAAATGTCAATTTTGTTTTCAGTCAGGCATTTAGTTTGTAGTGTGTCTTTTTATATTAAACTGTTAAAACTTGCTTATTTTTGGTTTTTAGGTGGTTGATCGGATATGGAAAAATATTGAGCTTAATTCATTGAAGCAGTTGGTTTGTGCAATATGTTCCAACAATGTACAGGTGCAAAAATCATCAATTTCACGTCATGCATATAACCATCCACACTACAGGTTTATTTTATTTATTTATTTATTTAGGTATTTATTTGTTTTTGATTTACATCTCATTTTTATTTTAATTTTTTTTTGTACAATTTTTTCGTACAGTTTTCTCTTCATTTTTTTTTAAAGTACTAATGCGATTCATTTGTTTTAATCTGATGTATTATAGAAGTACTACGAGTTTTGTTGATGTTTTTTTTTTCTTTTTTCTAAAGATGTTTTTTTTTTTCATGCATTGTGGACAGGGAAATCAGTTAAAACAGCCAAGATCTAGTTTTGAAATTTATATTAGTGCTTAAAATTTAGCTTAACTTTTATCTGTACTTGTGCCTGTTCTTCGGACTGCGTGGTTTTCTTTTTCTTTTTTTGTCTGTGATGAGTGAATATGGGATAGAGTTCGTTAGTTGTGGTGGAAAGTTCTTGAGCCGTGATGCTTTTGCTTATCCTATGAACCAGATTTTTGAGTTAATAAAAAGCTGAAAATTTTTTGGTGATGAATCATTAATTGGTCGTCTTTTGTGTTTTTAATAGTGTATATTTTTGTTTTTCTATATAACTGTAAGTTTATTTGCTTCTTTTTGCTGTCTTCTAGGTTAAGTGCATTTTCTATTGGAAACAGTGGAAAGAATCAAAGAAAAAAGGAGTTGGAAAGGGGAAGTGGTGAAAATAAAATTGAAATTGGAAAAAAATTTTTTTTTAATGTGTTTCATATTTTGTAGGTGTAAACGTTGCAAATCGGTATGTGCAGGTGAAGCAGGGATTGTTGGACACTGTAAGCAACTTCATCTGATTGATGATCCAAAAGTGCATCGAGATTATAATGCGTGTACGGCTGCTGATGTTATGGTATCGGTGATTAAAAAATGTTTTCCAGCACTTACAGATGATAGTACACCGTGTCTGCAGCAGCAACAGGAGCAAGAACAGCATCAGCAACAACAACAATAGTAACAGAAATGACAAAAATGAAAAGCGATCTTTGAATGTTCAGAAGGTGAAGATGGAGGAAGATTAATAAAGTGAAAAAGATGATTAGCAGTAAGAAGAAAGACTAAAAAAAAAAAGAAAAAAAAAGAAGAAAAAAACAATAGTTTTATAAATTTTTTTACTTTTTTTTTTCTATTTCACTAACTCTTTAAAAAATCTCGTTAACTTTGTTGCTAAAGATTTGAATGGAAATGGATGAAA